CCATCAGTATCTTCCTTGCTGTGTGACCTCACATGACTGCTAACTCCCCAGCATGTGACAAGTCCCACATGGATGGTCTACAAGATTCCAGGAGTGGTTCAGTGCTCCTGAGAAGTTTGGGAACTTTGATTTATCCCGCAGATAGAAAAGGATTATCAAAGTTTTCTACTGTTTTACTCTCCTGTTAATTGCTGATGATGTTTGTGGAAGAATAGGATCACTGTCTTTGCTGTGTGATCAAATGCTTCTACAGCTGGTGACAAGGCTAAAGGGTGGAGAAGAATGAAACAACAGCCCTCTCTTTTCCCCCTTTCTTTTAGCAGTGTATTTTAATTCTCCATTCATTTTTCAACTTAATAAAGAAAGCTGGGATTGAATCTGTGAAAAATCTCCACAACTTTCTTCCTTTTCCTGCAAAGATTGTATCTGTGCTCAGAAGAAAACTTGTGGGCTTAGTTATATCTCATGGTATTGTTTTCTGGTTTTATGATACTTCCTTTCCCCTGGCGATGTTGAGAAATTTGGATTAAGCTTTAGGAAATGATAAATGTTCTGTTGTATGTTTAATGAACTAGACATGTTAGTCCTTGTCTTAGCATGTTGTGGAGGGAATAATATGATGTCAACCATGGAAAATCGAAATAAACTCACAAATAGGCATTTCTGAATCTTCAAACCAAGGGCACTGTAACAAATAAGGCAAATAGCCTGGAACTGTGGGCCAAAGCCCTACTTCAGAAAGTTCTTTCTTGCAAAAAAGAACTTTCATCTCATACTTTCTGTATTGCGCCAGTGGGCAGTCAGCAGTGTTTCAGCAGTCGGCAGTATTTCTTTGAACACACAGGTTTGAAAGGCCTCATAGAGACTTTTTTTTTCACTGTCTTGGAGATGAATCTGTTTTTTCAACATGGATTAGTGGATTAGTTTTATGCTTGAAAGCAATCAATTTTATGCAGTGGGATACAAGCGGAAGTTGGGCTGAAGCTCACTGATGGATGGTGTTTTATTTTTACTCTGCTGCTGTGATATTTTGGTCCCTCACATAAAGAAAGATTCAAGTGGAGACCTGTGGAGAAAGAGGCAAGTCACTCCTAGAGATCATCTTGAGGGTGTTGGAGGAGAAAAAAGCTTTTATACACATTGGTTGGGCAGAGGATGGATGTCTGAGGCTGAGAGCTGTCCGAGGAGCAGGGAAATGGTTGTGGAGAGCAGGGAGCAAACACACAACTAGGCTGAAAGTGATTCTCAGGATTGAAGGGGGCACTGCACAGACTTGAGCTCCAACCTCAAAAAAATAGATTGTTGGGCTGCTAAAAAGCCTAGAAGAATGGATGTAATTCAGGAGAATAAGATAATCAGAGGACCTTATGTTGCAAACCATTTTAAAATTTAATTTATGCCTTACCTAAGAACTTGATTTAAGTCCATTATTAAAAAATTAACTCTTCTTGTTTGCATTTTACTAGAACCTAGCTTTTCACTTAAAAAATATTACAATTGTTTTAGGAGCAAGGGAAGTTCTTCCTGCAAACTTTAAGCAAGTGTGCCTCACAGTTCCTATCTAATTGGAAGTTTAGTCTTGGCTCACCTAAAAAGTGATTTTCAAAAACTGCTTCTAACTTTAATTTTTCTAACCACATGTTGACTGCATCATAAGAGTGCAAGTTTAATTTGGAGGCTTAATAATGGAATACTAAATCTATTGTTTTGTTTTGGTTTTTTTTTTGGGGGGGGGGGCAAAGATGACTGTTTTTTCTGTCCTTTGAAGGCGATTCCGTATTTCATTAGTTTGTCATATGAATCAAACATTTGCAGAGTGATAAAACATATGCTGTTGATTAAACTTTGTTTTCAATGTGGAACTTTTCCTGTAGGAATACTGGTACTATATAGAGCCATTTGTATGTGACACAAAATTTGAAACATCCTCTTTTCCAAGATTTATCCACAAGTAATACTTCTTGGTAGAGCTACGACTTTGTGTACATGATAATAATGTGTTCTCTTTCAGATGAGAAAAATAATTAAATTTGTTACAATTACAATTAAGTTGGTAAAAATACTTTCTTTCTGGCCACAATCTCAAATTATGAAAATATCAATGTGTCTGCTAGCTGTTCATTAGCACAACATCGAGAGTGCAAACAACCTCTGTCTATTGATTAATTTAAAAAGAAGCAGTGGATCTGTATTAGGAATAATTGCAATCTGGAAATGTACAGTGCATGAAAATTATTTGTCTTTTGAAAACATATAATCATTTATACTCATAAATCTAACACTGACTTTGCAGAAACAATGGTAGGTTCCTGATCCCCTTGCACAGCAAAGTATGCTGTACATAAGTTATTACTCAGATTAAAAGGAAAAGTGCAATCATGTTCATAGTAATCTTTTTTCAATGGCCAGAAGTGTTCCAGAGTTGCTGGAGATATTTCATCAGCATTGAATGTTTGGAACTACTGATGCATAACTCTACAAAACTATTATCAACGCTATAAATTTAAGATAAATGTGTTAATTGTGCAGTTGAAGAGATCTTGAAAAGTTCCCTCACTATTAGAAGTTCATTTTCTACATTAGGCGAAGATTGCTTAATTGCAATTTCTAATTTCTTTAAGGATGAGGAGGATGGGAGTGATGCTTTCAATGACTAAATAACTACTTAAAAGATTTTTTTAATGACACACTTAAAAATCATAACAACTTGCTCTTCTGTGTGCTGAAGTTAATGATGTCATACTTTTTCTGAAGGGTAATCTAGGAAAAGAATTGACAACTGATTCATGCATCACAGTCTAATTCTTAAATACACTTCACATGAAAGCAGAAAAAACAGCAAGCATTTCATTCACCTTTCAAATACCAGAATCTGTATGAAAACCATGACAAACAAAATTTAAACTGAGCTAGTTGCTTCCTCTGGAAAAAGCATTGTCCTTTCAGGAAATCACAGATGTTTGATGCAGACTGATTTTCCAAGTCTGGGTTAGGAACTTTTGGCTGAAGAATTTTGTGGAAGGCAAGCATGTCAATAATACACCTGTGGTGCGAGCCTTGGGTAAGGAAATTGTCTATGGCACTATCCTTAAGCTCTTGTTCACTCAATTTTTCTAAAATCATTGACTTTAATGTACCCTCTGCTGACTTGAGTGCACACTCTGGAGAATATTTTCCTTTTAAAAACAGATGGTATGGAAATTTTTAAAATATTGCGTCTGTTAAGCACAAATTATATATTAATGTTAACTTGAGCTGAACAAGGATGTACAAATTGATTTTAAAAAATACCTTAAGAACTAATATATATAAAAAGGTATTCACTAGTGGATTTATCTCAATAAATTTAATATGATTGTATAACAGTGAAGGCAACAAGGATGCTGAATGAGAGCAAATTGGAATGAAAATAGTATTTCCCTTCTCTATTATGTCTTCACTCATGAAAGATGATGAGCCAATTTCCAAGGCAATTAAATGCTGTGTTGTCAAGAATATGGCATCCCATATGGATCTCTGGTAACTGTACTGCTGGTCTGCCCTTTAATCACGAAAAACCTTATCTTTTTAAGCTGCACCTTGCATATAGGTATCCATATTAAGTGGCAGTAGTTTCAAGCTTGTTATATTATATTTTTGCTCTTTATAAAGCTTCTACTCATAAACAAATTATTGATTGTTTTAGACTTATTTTTGGAGGATTCTTTTTCATGATCAGCTTCTAGAGCTGTGGTACTCAAATCCAACTTTATTGCAATTAAGGCCTAGTCACTGATGTCTAGACTGCAGTAATGGTGTTGGTTATTTTCCTGTAATAACCCTATTGACAGGCCTCAGAATAGCACTGGTCCTTTTTTTGGCAGAGCTGATGTTTGCTGACTGTACAAATAATGGACTAGCAGCCATTGCATGTAGTGTGGTTTTTTTGTCGTAATGGGAAACTGCATTAAAGATAGAAACCATCTTGTAAGTAAAGGGAAGTCTTTAGGCATCAAGATGTTTTTCTGCCCTACTTTGGGAAACTGTAGTTCATAAGCTCTCCATTTCCAGGTTGTGTCACTCTAGGGAGTGGTAACTCTGTTCTTACTCCCTCAAGTCAAAAGGGTGAAGGCGAGGGCTGGAGTCTAATAAATTGCAGGCTGAAGGCAAATTCACCTTTCTGTGAAAACTGTGGTTTTATTATTTTTCAACAAATTGGGCATCAGCCTGAACCTTACTGTATTATTTCTTGCTGTTTTATGAAAAGCCTTCTCAGTTAGCTGAAGCACCAAAAATATCTGTTTCTGGACACTGAGAGTCATAGATCTCTGCTAAAAGCCGGACTGGTGTGATGGAAGGTTGTAAGTGCCTTGTCTGGCACTTAAATGTCTGAGGAGGAAGTTCCAGAGGCCTTTTTGGCATAGCAAGAACTTCTACAGTAGCCCTCCATGGTGTCAACATGTTCATACTTCAATTTGAAAATCTCCAAATCACTTTAGTCTGAACACTAGTCTTAAGATAAGGGAAGGAAAATACAACTGAACAAAGCTGTCACAGGCTAGGCCATCTGCATCACTCACTGCCTTGGGGTCTGCAATGAGTATCTTTGCATGTGAATCATTCTTTCTTTTGTATAATTTTGTTATTAATATTGTTGCTGCTACTGTTTATTTCTAGGCTCATTGCTGTTTCCAGTAAATTGTTCTTATCTCAGCCCATGATCTTCATTTTTTGTGCCTCCAGTTCTCAGCTTCATTCTACTGGAGCAGAAGGGACAAGGGAAGGCATAGTGAGAGGGTGGTGAGTAATTTAGGAGAGTCTGAGTGAGGGCACTGAATTGGGAAGTACCATTCTTAAACCATTACAACTGCACAAAAATCCTTTCCATATGTATCTTTGGATGTGAGATACTTGCTTTTTTTTTTTCTCCATTAGTATTCATAAATTAATAAAGCAACAGACCACAATATATATGTATCTTGAATTGCAGTATTTGTTATAGTTAAGGAATCCACACAAAATCACATGAGATGAAGAAAGGGACATGACCAGCTTCCCACACAACAGAAACCCACAAATATGTGCAATAGATGAGTAGCTAAATCAAGTGCTTTGTTGGTCACTGTATTGGCTTCACATAAGGTGCTCTGCTTGACTGACACTCAAGAACTTCAAGACTAGAAGTCTGAATTTGTTTCAGACCCTCCAGGGCTCTTGGGACAGTAATCCCACAAAGAAGGAGATACCAGTCCTAGGGAATGGGGCTCTTATGTCAGACTGAATGAAAGTACATAGGCTTGAGTTGACTTCAGCTGGCTCTTGAGCATATCAAGCAGGGTGATAGAAATCAGTACACTCTTCCTGACTCTGTCAATGATCTTCTGGTGTTTCCTGGCAAGCTACTTTATCTTTCCCTGTAGCTTCAAAAAAAGAATAATGTTATCTTAGGGAAAAGTTTCACCTAGAAGAACCAGTTCATTGTAACAGAAAGGTTTGTGCCTGTGATGTTGTTATAGAAATTACCATAAGCTTGTTGCAGAAAAAAGGTTCCTTGCCTCTAAGCCATCCATTTCCTTTATGCATCACTTTTACACAGTAGTTGATTCAAGCTGTTCAGTTTTAAAACAAGAAAGGGCTGAGTGGCTTCCATGAAGATGCATTCAGGCAGAGACATGAGTGGATAGAAATGGTGCACAATGCAGCTGTGTTTCTAAGAGTATTCTATCTAGGATCAGTTTTCACTATCAAGGAATCACTAAAAAGAGAAGATAATGCTATTTAAATCTATTCTTCTTGATGAAATTTGTACAAATATAAGATTGTGGGGGTTCTTTTTTTTTTTTTTTTTTTTTGTGTTTCTTTTGATAAAATTGATACTGCTCCAGGGAGAGCAATTATGTTTAGCTGTCTTGGTAAGAAGCTGACTAAGTCCTGGCCTGAACTTAGGCTAACAGAGAGATTACTGGGCTCCAAATTGGAAAATCCTGAACATGATGCAATAAAGCAAGGAGCTGGCAAAATCTGCAGCTGATACTATCAGGAATGGCAGGATCACCTGGATTAGAGTATCAGGCTATTTATATAACAGCACTCGGGCCTGTTAGCAGAACAGTAAGCAGGGATGGTTGGTGTTTATTTGGGAGAGAATGAGAAACAAATTAGAGTGAGAAGGAGAAAGGGGAATATAATAGGTAGTAAGCTGTGATTAGTGTTCTCTGGGGATAGTCAGACCAGGCACCAAGGTATGACTATGTCTGTGCCAGGCCTGAGGGCACTGGCATCCTCCTAAAGACTTCCTGCCAACATCCACAGGTGCCAGTGTAGACCTTTTGCAATGAAACTCAGTAGCAGCTTTTGAGTGTGTTTCTTCCTGTTTCTGGTAGAATGAACTTCAGGAACTATATGAGATAGTGGGAAGGACCTCTGATCACTATCTGTTCCTCAGTTTGGCTAAATATAATTCCCCTAAAACTAAGATGGTTCATTAATGTGCCATGCTTGGAAAGCACTGGTTCATCAAAAGACCTCTGCAAATACTTCTGATAGGGGTGAGACTTAGAAAAATATGAATAGAAGAATCAGCTTTACTTTGTTAGGATGAATCTGTAAATCAACTTGACCTCTGAAAATCTCACTGCTAACAATGCACTTTCCACCTGTCTGGAAACGATGGTAAAGATGGGGCTGAAGCTGGGTGAAACTCCTGTTTGCCATGTGGCAACACCCAGCTAAACTTTTGGGGAGACAGCTGGAGATTTTGGTGGCAGCAAGACAAAGTGAGGCACAAACTACTTTTGGGATCTCAAATGGTTAGTATTGCCAGAGATATATCTGTTCTGTTTTACTCAAAACTAGACAGCATAACAAGATTTTAGAGTCTGAGATGGATCATTTGAAAATTAGTGTTTCTCCTCTGTAGAGGGAACAGAATTACTTTTTTTTCCCCTCCAAAGAACCTACTTTGCAGCTACCAAACAGCCCTGTCTGCAGTCATCTGTGTGTTCATAAATTTACAACCAAGTATTTATTATTCTATTGGCTAACAGAAACATTTTTCAAGACTTGGAGGACACTACTACTTGCCCACATCCATGTTGACTGTGCTTGCTGATATGTCCAGATACATGGAAAATTTATAAACTTTCACCATCCAGAATTCTGCCACCTCTGGCAAAAAATTGCTGAAATTAATTAAAAAAAAAAAGTTTAACATGAATTCTGATTTGTGTTCAGTTTTAACAAAAGTTTTTAACTTTCCCTCTCTGCAACATTTTAAAATCAATTATAGAACTTCTCAGAATTTCACTAAGTTAAAGAACTTGACAGTTTTGTGTAGAAATTCTTCCTCCTCCTGTCTTGTTTTGTCACTGTTGTGACAGACTGTAATGGCTTGTAGGATGGTGGGAGGCAACTGGGAAGAGCAGTGAACTCAGGAGTACTATGCTTATCCTCTGTGAGCTCTCAAAAGATGTCCCAGGAGACTGATGGAATAGTGCTTCTTGAGAGCAAATATTTTCTCTTTTGGAGGTCAGTGTATCTGTGAGTGATACACTCCATAGTGATTTGTGCAGGAGCAGGTTTTGCTGGCAAGAAGTGGGAGCTACAAACTGGTTTATGCATTTCCATCTGAGAAGAATCAGCTGGTCACCTGGTGGGAACTGTGCCAGAGAATATTTGGAGCTGCCAGCTTGGTGTTTGGGGGCTAACTGCTGGATTTAACTGTGGAGTTTTAAGGGATGGCTGGTCCCCAGCTGTATCATTTCCCAGGGATTAATGCTTCTGCTACAAAAGATGCAAAATGCTTTGTTACTACAAAAGTAGCAAAGCAGGATTCACATCAGTTCCTTGGCTGCCCCAGGTCACTATCTAGGATTTCAGCATAAAAATCCACCTCAGCTTATGAAACTGTGTTAGTGGACTGACGGACAGACCCATGCACTCTACCACTGCCTACTCTATTGGGGTAGGAATCTGTGGCAGAGGGTGCAAAAAAGAAGCATTCAACAAGCTACAGTTGGCTCAGCTAAATATATTTAGCAGAGTTTATCTGCCACTCATCTTGGAAGAGGTAGAATCAAGGGAGAGCCTGGTAGTGAGCAGGGGCCAGCTGGAAACCACTTCTGCCTTCTCCTGTACCACTGGCACACTTCAGAGTATGAATTTCCTAAAATAGGTACAGGGTGTTCTTGAACATCCCTATCACACTGACCTGCATAATCTGAGAAACTTCTGCCTGAGTTTAGTTGCTGCTATGAAGTTCTTTTTATTATTCTGGCTATACGCAGTGTTGTATCATAAATGCTTTTTTTACTCGTGTGCATTCATTTTTGTAGGTGAGACTCTGTCACATCCCTTCAGATGAAGGACAGTTGTTAGCTCCTAAATTTTGATGGCTAGTGATTGAAATATAAAACATTTGAGTCAAGGATTGAAGTTTTTTTAGAACAAACCATTCTGGCTGTCTTGTCTTTAAATGTATGGGTTAATAGAAAATTATAGGAGATAGGAAAAAATGCATATAAGTGGCGCAACACAGAGGAAAAAATATTTGAGACTGATAAGATGCTCTAATGGGCAGGTTGGGTTAGAAAAAACCTAACCTGGTTGGTTGGTTTGAGAGTTGTGTTTCAGGAGAAGTATGTGACCTGATTGGAAATTCCAAAAGAACTGAGCTCAAAGGAAGGCTCTGATAGGTTTGTGAAAAGGAGAAAGGCCTTGTTCTTTTATAGATCCATGTATTTATTGTGGCATGAAGTAAGCTGTGGTGGAATCTAAGTGATCTTTATCCATAAGCCTGATGTGTTTTTTCACTTTACTTTTGTTTACTTAGCTCTATTCAGTACTTGTGGGGTGCTGCATGGTGTAGTGGAGGGCTTGCACTTCAGGAGATAACATATTTCAATCCTGAAGGACCAGCCTTAAATCCTGTGGGGACAGAAACAGATTCCATCTTTTGGATGCCAAGATGAGGATACAGAAGCTGAAAACTAGAGCTATCAGGTGAGTAAGTGTGCTGATCCTTCCCATATTCCAGAAGTTTTAGATTGGAAGGAGATGACTGGCTGGATTTTTTCTTGTCTGGCCATGCATAGCTTTGTAGCAATAAAGTCTTGCTCTGTTCTGTGTCTTCCCCTAAAAATGTAAAGTAGGCCTATCTTTACCAGCTCATAATTATTTTATGCAAGACACCCTATGTTTATTCCTTATGGCTTTCTTTCCCACAACTTACTTGTTGTGGCAAGGGTATGAGGCTGCTCCCAGGATCTTAGTAAGTTTGCATAAACAAACCTGTGATCCAGAAAAAAGGTCTTAGCTGGGGAACTGAGATAGGAAAGGACGGCTTGAACTGTGGTTCCGCTGTCACAGAGCATCCAAAATAACCTGAAGCTTTAAGTGCTGGTCCTGTAAATTCCTTATCCCTCTCTAAAAATACTCAGTGGTCCTTAGGATAGTTCCTTCTGGTGTTTGCAGGCGTCCACTTAACCCTGATGTCTGAACCACAGTTTTCCTGCCTTTAGGGTGGTTTCTTGGGACTCGAGTGTAGTTGCATTTCCCAGAAGCAGTAGAGACCCTGCTCTGAGTGAATTGACATCTGTGGGCTACTCATGCTCACAGAAGCATAAAACTGCAAGGAAATGGCAGTTTTGATAAAAAAGCAGCAGGCTGGTGAGCACTGAGCAAAGAGGAGCTTGGTTAGGGCTGCAGGGCTGCCTTCAGTAGGAAATAAAGTTAATTGTCATCTGGCCTAAGTTAAATGGATGACCTCATGAGCAATAGTGTGTTTAATCACAAAGCCACTAGAAACATCTTGACATGAGATGGAATTGCTTTGTCAGAATTTGTTCTAAAGGGACTGGGAACAGGAGCAGTGAGGATAAAACATGCCATCAGTACATAATAAACCTTGCTGCGTCTCTCTCCTTCCTCACTGGTTTGTTGTGAAACAGTGGAACAAATGTGCTACCATCTGAAAGGTACAACCTGTCTTGAAAATTTAGGTCAATCCCACAGTAGGGAAATGGGGACCATCACAATTACTTCATTGTAGAACCACACTTCATGTCTGAGATCCTGAATGAGATTTTCAAAATATATCTGAATGAATTACTCACCACTTTTGTGGTGTCTGGAACTCTGAATTAATTGAAGAACCTAGTGATTATCTTCAGTAAAGTATAAAAAAGGGGAGAGAAGGGAAGGAAAAAGGAAAGGAAAAAGGAAAAGCAACGGAAATACAGTCTTCACAAATCTCTCAAAGAAACTATCATTTTCTTTCTATTATCCTCTTGGAAGAACTGCTCTTGAGTGACTAAGTTAAATAACACAAGCAAAAGATGATGATTCATGCTGCTTTTCCTGATAGTTTCTAGTGTTCAAAAGCCAGCTGCAGCTTTGAATAAATGCGTGGGGAAAGGAATAAAATTATAGTAGGTATGTTAGCGTAATGTTCCCAATGTGCAGCCTGTGTATGTGATTACCTAATATTCCTTACCAGCTGTTTCTTAACATTAGTCATAGTGATCTAAAACAACCACCCTCTCTTCATTTATCTCAGTAAACATTGTTCTTTTTTTGAAGAGGTAAGCTGTTTAGGAACAAAAGTTGTTCCCTACTCCCCTTCAGCTTTTTCGTCTGCATTTCGTAATCGTCTTGAATTGGAAACAGCTATAGCTGACCGTGTAAGTAACAAACAGTGAGGAAATGTTTAAATATGGTAATAGCTATATTTGAGTACCATTATGAATGTGTTTCCTAGTAGTGTCTAGAAAATGCAAGGCTCTG